GCTAGTTCACTATAGTAAAGGTAATTTTAATATATTTGATTTAAAAATTCGCTATATCAAGAGTTCGCTATATCAAGATTTAACTGTATATATTTCAAAATTCCTTATATAGATCTCTTCTTTCAATATCTGATTTCTGAATTAATAAAATTGGTTTTTTAAATAATACATAATATTATATTAATTAGATTAATTTTGCTATTATTTTAAAATTTATTAATAATTTTAAAATTATAATAAATGAGCTTATAATACTAAGTAAAATTTTAGTTTTATATATTTTAAATATTAATTTATATTAATAATTAATATTATATAAAAGCAGTAAAATATTACAAATCATATTATTTATTCTATTTTATGATTATTGAAAACATTTTTATATATTAATATTTTAATTATTAATCTATAATTATTTATTTTAATTATATTAATTATAATATAATATAATATTATAAAATTTATTATAAAGAAAAACTTTTATATTATAATTTTTATAATTTAAATTTTATTAGTAATAAAGCAATTTAATTAGTATTTAAGTAAATATAAGAATGTTTAAAAATTTTAAAAAATATTCTAATAATTTATTAAATTTGATTTTAAAATGAAAATATTTTAAAATACTTAAAATATCTTTAATAAAAAAATATATTAAAAATATATTTTATATTTTTTAAAATTTATAAATAAATTTGCATAAAATCTTAAAATACTTATTATATTTATTATATTTTATTTATATTTTGAAATTTAATTAGTTTATAATATAATAAATAATTAATTATAATAACTATTATACTAATTTATTTTGAGTTTATTATTAAAATAAATATAAATAATTTCAAGAATTTAGATATTTATAAGATACTCATTTTTATAAAAATATAATTTCTAATAAAAATAAATTTTTTATTATAGTAAATTAATTTAGATTTATTTATATAAAAAATTATTTCTGATAATAATAGTAAAAATTTAAATTAAAAATAAGAAAAATAAGAACTTTAAATTTTAAAAAGATTTTATTTATTTTGAATATAATTATAAGATATTTTTAGAATTTTTAAATCTTAATAAATAAATTTTTGCTAATTAATAAAATTATAAAAATTTTAATAAGTAAAAATTATTTATTAATTAAATAAAAATTTTATTATTAATATAAATTTTTATTATATTTTTTTATGCAATTAAATGTTTAAATTGCCTTATTTCTTTTGAATTTAAAAGAAAGAATTAATTATTAAAAACTTGAAACTTAGATTATAAAGTTATTAATACATAAAACCAATATATATCTTACCAAATTATAATTTGATATTAATAATAATTAATAAAAAATTCTTAAAATATATTATTTAAAAATATTTTTTTTGACTCAAATTAAATTTAAAAGATGTAAATCCATAGAAGGTGTGGTTATGATCACGTGACACTGGGTGCATTATTATAATTTTGGCCGGTTTATCTTTTTCACGAAACTCAACACCATACCATGAATGTTCATGTCACTCATGTTTCTCGTGTTACTTCGTGTTATACCATGTGATTATCATGAGTTTATTTTTTTGGCGGGAAAAAAAGGAGATATTTAGCGAAAGAATTTTATCAACCGAAAAAATTTTAATTTTCATGATTCTTTATAATTAATGGATTCATTAAAGTTTATAAGACATATCCCATTAATAATTTCAACAATATTTAAATATTTTACAAGAGGACCCCCACAACCATCATGGAATTTAAAACTTTATTTATCATTAGAATTAACTCGATCACTTTTTAAATCGTATTCTGGAACAATTGAAGAGTTACAAAATTATGTTTTGATTAGAAATGAGAGCATTCCTTCTCATATTAAGATTGATAAAATATTTATTTCACATGAATATAGAATTAATGCTCAGGCGTACATTGAAAGACTTGTAAAACCTTACGAAGTTGCTATTGATCCGATTTGGAAATCTCCCAGAAATAATGGAATAAATGGTGAATTCATTATGAATAAAGATTGGAACTTTAATAATGAAGAAGGTAGTTGGGAAAAGGAAAAAATTGTTATATTCTTACATGGTGGAGGTTATTGTTGTGGAAATATTGATTCTAGTCGTGAAATACTTTGCGAGATATCAAAACTATCAGGTGCTCGCATATTAGCAATTGAATATCGATTGGCACCACAACAACCCTTCCCTGCAGCGTTATGTGATGCTCTAGCAGCTTACTTATATCTAAAAAATCCACCCAATGATGCTAGATTTAAACCGTATAAGCCAGAGCAGATAGTCCTACTTGGGAGTAGCGCTGGGGGTGGATTATCACTTTCATTGGGATTAGCATTACGCGATTTAGGTTTATCACTACCAGCTGGTATAGCTTTATGGGTAAGCTTTTTACCTATATGAAATTTTTATAATAAATAAATATTTATTTTTTATTTTATTAATTCTAGAGTCCATGGGTAGACCAAACACATAGTATGCCATCATATTCTGATCAAATGTTGAATGAGATAGATTATGTACCACTAAAAACAGGAAATTTATTTGCAAATGGACCTTCAATTGCATTTGATGAATTTAAACAGAGAGCAGAAACCATTACAAGAAAAATTCAACAATCCGAAATCAAACTAATTGGTGATGAATCTTTAAAGAGAATTGGACAGCCCATTAACTTTTATGTGGTAAATGAAGGACTTGCTATCCCATATGTTAGTCCTGTTTTAGCTGAATCTCTTGGTGGTTTACCTCCGATGTTAATTGTAAGTTCATAAAGCGAGCTTTTTTTTTTTGTACGAACAAAAAAGGAAGGATCTGTATTAATCTTTTTCTTTAGGTAACGGGAAATGTAGAACGATATCGTGATGAAGCAATTTACCTTTCTTACAGGGCTTCTAATCCAGAAAAATATCGTTTACCAGCTTATGAAACAAATTTTGATAATTCACGTTTTAAATTTCCGACCGAAGTTACACTTGAGGTATTTGATGAAATGTTTCACGTCTTTCAGGTATGAGTCGCGTCATTATGAAATTTGTTGCCTTCCTTTTTTTTTAAAAAAAAAAAGAAATTTAAGGATGAAGGTTTACTTACCTAAATTATTTTTTCCGAATTAAAGGCTTTTAAATATTGTGAACCAGCAAATGTGTCAATTCGAAGAACTAGTAATTTTATTTCCCGTATAACACAAGAATCTGTTTTAGCTAATCCTCTTCCACATAGGTTCAGTACTTTAAAAATAAGTTATGATGGAGAAGTCCGGCCTTTAAGTGAATCAAGCATTAATCATATCCTTAGATGGGATCAAGTTGGAGTATATCCAGATGTATAATTGGTAAAGCATTCAACATAGTAAATCATTCAAATGTGAAAAGGTTCGGTTGGATAAAAAATGTTGATATTGAAATTATTGAAAAACAAAGGAAATTAAATATTTTCACGAAATATAATTTTAAGGAAAAAAATAATTTTTTTAAAAAAAAAAAATCTACCGAATGAGCTATTAATAAAATATTATATGATTTAGAGTTTATTTACTTTTCGTGGAAAACGGATTTTATATTCCAATTTGGTCTCAGTCCGATAATGTACTCCGTAATCCGTTCATAAATCCGTTCATACATATTCTATACTTCTAAAAATGAGAATGGTCCCCTTTTGGTAATTCAAATAATAGAACGCGAAAAAAACAAACATGTAAACCAGCACGCACATATCTGTTGTTTATTTACAAACTCGACAAAAAAAAACGCCTCGAATTCAAATTTGGCATTTGCATTATTATTTCGTAAAGTAAATCGTAAAGTAAGTGACAATGAACCCCAATTCCCCAATACTTTGTCGTTATATTCTAAACATCTTAATATCTACAATAGAACCATTTTCGGGTGGATTACCTGAATAAAAAATAAACAAAGCGGATAATCGCAAAAAAAAAAAAAAAAAAAAAAAACAGAATTTTTTTTTTGTTTTCCATTGTATGAATTGTATGAATATGAATTTTATTATATAGTACATTTAAAATGCAAAAGATATTATATATATTATAGATGATAAAATGGAGGAAATCTTTTTTTTTTCTTTTCTTTGAAATGGTTATAATATATGATGAGATTGAGATGAAAATACTTTTTTATAAGGATGATGTAAAAATAAGTCCCGGAAAAAGAAGTACGGAGTTGTGAGAAAAATAGGATAAATAAGTATAGATTAAAAAAAAAAAAAAAAGAAAAAGAATTAAAGAATGTTTAAGAATTTAACTTATATAATACATAATCTAATATATATATATAAATGTTTCTTCTTTTAAATTACTTAATAATTGTTATTGATAAAAAATCCAATGTCTTTTTTTGGACAAGAAAACAATGAAACACACTGATGTTCTTTTTATGCAAAGAGCGACATTAGGAATTTTTTTGCAAAAAGGGAAATTACTAAAAAAAAAATGTTTGATACGAATATTCGAGATTAAAAATAGTTTTTCGTGTAATTAAAGAAAATTTTTTTTTTTTTAAAAAAAAAAAAAAAAAAAAAAAAAAAAGATGTAAATTCTCCCTTAAAAATATTTCTCTCAATCTCACCGAATCGACGAAATAAATAAATAATTTACAAATAATTAAAAAAAATACAAAGGGAAAAAGGAATAAAGTAATATTAAATATTGATATTATTATATTATATGTATAATAAAAAAAAAACTTTTTTTTTGTTTTATTTTTTTTTTTTAATCAAAATCAACTGATTATTCATTATTTACTGATTTTGCCCATGACGGTGTGGATATTGCTGATGATGATGTGGTTGTAACTTTTTGTCCAAAAAATCTCCAAGTCTTGAAATATGTCTTGTGTTGCTCAACTTCCTTGGCAAAATTTTGTATAATTTCATCATACTCATTAGACTTTGTACCCATCACTATTGACATGGGTAGCCTGACTGCATTCCACCCTTTCGTAATGTCATCAACAGCCTAAGAAGAATAAATTCGTTAAAACGTGACGCTTTTGAGAAAGCATTTCATGCACGTGACACAGTTTTAATCTTAACACATACCAATTGGCCTAATTCACCGGCCCATTTTCCAACAAAACATGATTTTTCTTCAATTTTAATCCCTGTTACGAATTTATCGTTGGCTTCCATCGAGTCAGGAATATGAGAATTGATTGGTTGAAAGATACCTTTAGCTTTCATGAACGTCATTACTGCGCCAATAACAAAAACACGTTAGTTTTGTTTGTAGTCAATATCAATAAACAAGAAGAAATAATAGAATGAATAACGTACAGGCATTCGTCAAACGCTGCGTTGTTGGGCCATCATTGTAGTATTGAATATCACTTTCCATGAATTCTACCCATCCACCCTGCCGTGTGACTCGAATCAACTCTGGAATAACCTTTTCCTCCCATTCTTTTGATGAAAAGGCTGTCACCAAAAGTCTCATGTGAACGAAATCAAAGGTATCATCCAGGAATGGTAATCCGTCAAGTATATTGGCTTGGAGGAATTTTGCATTCTCGGGCTTCTTTTCCTGTGGGAATATGGGAGCAAAATCAACTCCCGTGAATGACGTCTTTGGGTATGATTCAGCCATTTCGATTGTCCAAGTTCCTGGTCCACATCTGAAATAATTGAAGAGAAAGGATCGATTCAATGAGAATACGTTTATTAACAGATTAAAAAATAGTTCAACTGGAAAATAATTCGCGATATTTACCCAACATCAAGCACTCTGGAACCACCATTTTTTAATTTTTCTTCTATGGGTGCGGAATAATTATTCTGCCAAATTCGTTTAAACAATCGATGTTGTCTCTGCAATCTTTCTACCTCTTCATCAATGATAGGACCTATCAACTTTGCGCTTTTTAAATTATGAATCCTTTTGCCACCATGTGAAAATCTCCAACTTTCTAAAGAATTCACATCTGCTATACCAGATGTACGCCAAGAGCGGAACTTTTTTCGTTTTTCTGCTTTCAATAATACATCGGGTTTGTCTTTTATATTGCTTACGATGGTCGTAGAATTGTGTTTAGATTGTTTGATACCCATATTTATTCTTGTTATTACTGATTTTTTTTTGAATTTGTGTAAGAAAGAATGTTTAAAAGAAAGAAAACTTCTTGATGATAAAAAAAGAAAATAAGTTATATATATATTATTTGAAAAATTATTTTATATGGCAAGAGTAGTTGGTTTTTTTTAAGGAAAGGAGACAAAGGCTGAGAAATTTTTTTTTAGAAAAAAAAAAAATCAAAATAAATAAATAAAATAAAATGAAAGTGAAATAAAAAAAAAAAAACGAGAAAAAAAAAAGGAGTCAATAAAAATGTAAAAATGGGAAATAATAACAATAAGCCAATGAATAAAAAAAAAAAAAAAAGTTTTCAATATAAATAAAAAAATTTCAAAGAGGAAAGCTTTTTGTTTTTAACGATCATTACCTTATTTTCGATTCTTTGTCACAAGTTTAAGTACTATAAAAATATATATATATATATTTATTTAATCCATTAAAAAAAAAGGTGATTCTTTTAAAGTAGGGATATTCAATAAATTTTCAAGTAAAGCAAAAATATTTAGTAAAACCTTGAGGCGCATATACACACAAATATAAACAGTTTATTCTTTTTTTGCTTTATATTTTCCCTTTGTAAAGATCTTTCTTTATTGGTGAATAAAAGAAGAGCGAGCTTATTTACACTAATTCTTACTGGTGAATAATTAAGATTTTGGATATGATGATGGTAAATTTTTCAAGGAATAATGAATCCTCATATAGCCATATTTTTTTTTTTGTTGATAAACAAAAAAAGGGCGCGATAAAAAAAAATAATTTTTTTTTTGTTTGGGTGTGCTATTTATCTATTTATGGAGGATTATTGTTTACATCTTTATTTCAGTTCTCTGTGTGACGAATGTGCTGCCATGGTATCGAAGTTTATTTCACACGTGTAATGCAGAAAAAAAGTATTACATCTTTTATTTACGGTAATTTTTAGAAAAAAAAAATTTTTTTTAAGATCCAGGATTTTATCATAATTCAAGGCTTGGTTGGTTTGATCTTCCCGTGAACGTGTCACATCCAAAAATGGAAATATTTCATCTCGCTACGATGTTAGCAAAAAAAAATTTTTTTCTTCTTTTTTTTCCTTGTGTGGCAACCTAAGAAAATCACCAGTGATAAGATCTTATAATGAATGATAAACAGAAGATTAAAGATTGAAAGAAAAAGAAACCTGTGTGTGAACTTGAAACACTATTTGATTTCGATTACTTTATTGGATGTAGTTTTTACATTGAAAATTTTCTATGTATGTCCATCAATGAATGCTATAAACTTTATATATATGCATATGCATTTTAAAAATTAATAAATTTTTATATGAATAACAAAAAAAAATTTTTTTTGAGATTTTCCTTGCATTAGAAAAAAAAATGGGTTTTTAAGGAGTGATGTAATTGAGATGATTCTCGGGAGTCGGGAGTTTAGTTGCACCAATGATACATTCAATCCTATTATAGACGTACCACCGTCGGCCGAATCTTTAAAATGTGAAAATCGACTCTTTGCTCTTTTATTTGATTGATTATGACGGAGTTGATAAAATAAGCCCTGAATTGCAAAAGAAACACTTTTTGGAGTGGATGATAAACTTTAATGTCTAAACCGATTTGGGATGTTGTGATGCAGAAAAAAATATGTTGCAAAAAAATTTTTCTTCCCGCATATTTGTTGACCTAAATTACATAACAAACAGTAACACCAAATTTAATCACGCGTTTTTACTTTAATAATATATATGACACTATAGTAACAATTGCATCATATGAAAGACAAAGGACACTTCTTGCATAGAAGGAAAGAAGAAAAAGAAAACAAAGAAAGAAGGAAAAAAAGTTCATACGTTCATAATAATGCGAAAAATATTCATAATTTTCTCCAAGAATAATTAATTAATCATTAAAGGTTTAAACCACTACCGTAATGAGAACACAATGTAATATTTGATATTTACCACGATTGCAGAATATTGCATTTAAATTCGCTGTTGTAGATTTTTTTTTCTCACAGAAATCTTTTTTTAACAAAAACGAATATAGTGAAAGACAGCCACATCATTTAGGTTTGTCACGTGATGTTGTGACATGAGAAAAACAACAAATAAAATAAATAAATTACTCCAAATTAGGACAAGTCTTAATGTTAATAAAGGCTCTTTTTATTTTACCCCTTCTTCTTATTATTATTAAAAGGAAGCCCATCAATAATAATACCGCAAAATTCTGAAATTACAATGAATATTTTTAAATTATTCTGCT